TGGCGCCACAGGTAAGTATCACTGGCCTCCGCCAGTCTCTCTCCCACTCTACGATCTACCACCTACCAACGCCCAACGCTGAAGACTACAACTACAGCTATGGCGCCCAGCGCCGAAGACTACAGCTAGCGCTAATACCACCTAGCGCTGAAGACTACTACAACGCTCCTCTTGAGTGTTGCGGCCAAAATCCTGAAAACTACCCCGTGACTACTGAACTACCTACCCGTGAAGTGCCTAGGACAGTCCTATGTACTTCTTGGGTGTGCCTCCTGACTCGTGCGAGCAGTCCAGGAGGCTGCTCTTGCCAATGCCGAAGGCAGGCAGGGGCTGCAGCTGCAGCTCCTGCTCGAGCACATGAGGAACARGCTATKCTTGGCYTGTTSCRCATCCCTGTTTACGTGCCTGAGTCTTAGGGGCAGGTCGAAACAATGAGGGCCTGAAAATGGCCCTCCGTTTCAGGCTGAAAACTCTGGGTCTGAAAAGACCCAGAAATAGGCTGAAACGGGGTAGGGCCTGCAGGCCCTCGTTTTTCAGCTTTCAGGCTGAAGCGACCGGGGCTTGTAAGCCCTAAGTTTTAGGCTTTTAGGCTGAATGTCCGGGACGGGCCCTGCAGGGCCCGTGTGGCTACGCAGTATGCCACAAGTACAGTGGGACTTTGCAGGCCTTGTTTGCTGAGTTTGAGCAACTCACCTCCACCCCTGGGTTGGTCATGTCTACAAATGATCTGCTGACCAAGTTTTGCAGGGCAGTGCCTGAGAAATTTGTTGTTGCATTGTACAGTGCTGGGCACAAGGATTGGAGATCCTTTGACCGCGCAGCCCTGAAAATTGAGGCAAAGCTCCATGTCCAGGCCCCATCCTCTGACAGGAGGAAAGGTGCCTTCCCTAGAGGTGGCAGAAGGGGAAAGGCAGCCTTCACTCAAATGGGATCTGCATCAGGATCAGATTCAGATTCCCAGGCTGATGCACCTTCAGCTGGGACTGGATCTGCTGCTGATCCAGATGTTGCAGCAGCCGTGACTAAGGCTGTTTTGGGAGCTCTGTAGCTGCAGAGGAAGTTCTCCCCCACCGCAGCCTCAGCCACTGCCAAGGGGAAGGATAAGGGACGTCGGCCTTTCTCTTCCCAGCGCTCTAACTTGCCCAAAGACGTCCATATGCCAGCTGACCCTCTCAATCCCTCCACACTCCCCTCGCATGACCTCAAGATCCAGGAGGGAGTCTGGAGAAGAAGAAAGGAAAGAGGGGTCTGCCTGAGGTGTGAGGGTCAGCACTTTCTCAAGGACTGCCCTTACATGCCAGGCCCAGGTCAATAGCCAAACAACTGAAGCAGACCCAGGAGACCGCAGTTCCCCCCAATGTTGCACCTTCATCTGCTGATAGGGATGAATGTGCAGTTGCTTCAGTAGATAGGGTATGTATGGGAGTTGTGCGGGCAGCATCCTTTTATGAGGATCCTGACCTGGATTAGGGACTAAAGGAGCATGAGGCTCAGATGATTGCTCCCTTTCCTTCAGCTGAAGGGACAAGAGGGAAACCAAATTTGAACTCACCCTACCCTATCCCTGATCCATGAGAGAGGTGGAAACCACAATTCCTTCCACCTGTGCTGATTCACATCCTGAATCTTCATTGTTTCTCGTTTTTGTGGGAGTTGTAATTGTCAGTATTTGCAGATGCAAATTCTGGTGACACTCAATGTCCTGATCAGGGTTAGCTGCTAGTTAGCAATATTCCCCTTTTCTTGACATTGTGTGGCGAGTGTTATTGTTCCAGGCTTTCAACATCCTGCCCGGGCTCCTTATCTGTTCGATAAGTTGAGCACCAACACATTTATTGTTGCCAGCCTGGATAATAATTAGTCATATTTCACGTGGTGAGATTACTTGTTCTACTCGTAATCTCTTATTGCAGTCCTTCAGTTCTACTGACCGACTTCCATCCGGTTTATGTCTACTAAGGGGTACACACCCGGTCCGACGACTATAGCCAGCAATATCGAGTTTCCCTTCTACTGGCATCACAGTTTACTGTGGAGGTCATGAGTATAGGAACTGTATTGCAGCAATAGGGTGTCGTTCGCGGATCTCAACTTTTCAGAAGTGGTTGATTGCGTAATAGTAAAAAAACAGGTTATCTGTGGTTCTTGATGCAATCGAGACCAACTGACACTTTGAGATTGCCTCCTCCCGACCTTGCTGTTACAACATAGATCAGGGGCATAGGTTACCCCGTGAGTATCTCAGGTTTTCCTCTTCAGGCAAGAGTGTTATCTCCATAACCCCCTTCATCTGCTGGATCATTACCAAAAAGTGAAGTATGGGCACGGAGGTCCGCTCTCCCCGGGGGGGTAAGTATGTAATGAAACCTGCAGATTCTCAGTGGACTGTACAGTAGGCCGAGGGTGAAGCGTGGGCCTCGCCTCGGTCGGGTCCTAGTTTAGGTCAGATTCGTAATTTTGTTTGGCTGAGGGCTAACCAAGAGACCTACCTGTAAGGAAATTCGTGAGGGACATATCTGCAAATCTCGGAAAATATAGGCCCAGTACTAACTCGAAATCCTACAGTTACCCTAATTGCGTATAGCAGGACCGAGCTATTCCTAGGACAGACAGACCCTAAGCGGCCCATGCTGATAGACGGTCCTATAGCCTATAACCGGGTCCGGTAGAGGCCGAGAGGCCGAAACAGCAACGGTACCGGTCGGTCAGTCAGTCCGGTCTAGGTCTAGCGTAGTCTATAGATAGGCTAGGCCCATCGGTTCACGACTTTTGGCAGTTCATTTCTCGCGAAGCAGCGTTGGAGAAGCCAAGCAAGTTGGTGGCGGTGATGGTCTGCAGGCGGCATTCTGAGACTCACCGTTGACAGCAACCATAGCCGGCCCAGTCTGAGTCTGCCATAGCTGGGGCATCCTCAGCGCATCTACCCCTGGGGGTACCTGCGTCTGAGGCTCTACAGTGTGTGTACTCGTGGGTGGTGGCAGCCATAGCTGCCTGTTCCTTCGTCAAAGTTGTCCATTGGCACTTAAGACTTCATCGCAGGACCTGTTCTTCAGCAGGGTGGTTGGCGCTGGCCTCTGGGAGGTCATTCTGATGTGGCGCTACTAACTGGGTGTAGGATAGAGAGTGGGGCGTGAGTTCTGAGAGTGGCGAGATACTGGAACAAACTTTGTTAAGATAATTGTTTGAGTTGGCTCATCATCAGTGTGATTTCAATTGTTATCCTCGCTGGTTCTACTTGTGATTGGTTGTTGGGAGTGTGTCACAGAGAGAGAAACACTCTGTGTCTTCTCCCCATCTGTGCATAGCTGTATTCCGCTGCCTACTCTGATCTGTGTGCAGTGTGGACTCTGTCTCCTCTCCCCCTTCTCTTATGCATGTATGGGCGTGTATGAGATTGTCTGTGTGTGAGTNTGTGTGCAGTGTGGACTCTGTCTCCTCTCCCCCTTCTCTTATGCATGTATGGGCGTGTATGAGATTGTCTGTGTGTGAGTGGCGGTAAAAATCGTTACACAACCAAGTTCATAACATAGAAACCGAGGATCCGCAATGTGATGAAAAGGACTGAATGGACAATGCAGTGCAAGTAGAATCTCAACAAGCAATGAGCATTCTCATACATACAAAAGAGTGCTGAATAGCGCAGGGAAGACTTAGATACAAAGCCTGACCTGACCGGGACTGACCTCATTCACATWGTATCAGATAGMGAAGCAGAATGCTAGAGTGCTAATGACTAGCCCAATCAATGTTKGAAYGCAGACYAAACATACATYGTATCCATCACCAGGTGTGAAGGAGCCTGGCGCTGTACACAGGAAGAGAGSGCCAGGTCCAGACRTACACAGACGAAGAGGAGGGATTCRGAYGAAAGGAGGGAGAGAGATGGGAATGTCGTCAACACCAAGTCTTTGTCACAAGTCCCAAATAATCCCTCCTTGCAATGTCTGAAGTCCAAAAGTCGAGTCTGGATCCGATGTCACCWAGCTCTTTCTCTMTTCTCYCGTAGTCTGCAGATGCAGTGAAGTCAGATGATGAGAGGGGGAGAAGGAGATGGTGGACTGAGAAGAGGAAGAAGGAGAACTCTTTCTCTCTGTTACGAGCCAGATACTAACCTGTGATGTTGGCGYTGTGCTGCAGGTACCTCGAAGAYGAAGCTGGAGCAACGGCGCTGCAGGTAAGTACCTCTGGCCTCYGCCCAATCTCTCTCTCTCTCTAGTGCTATCCTAGCTATGGCGCCCAGCGCTGKAGACTACAGCTACSYACTGCRCCCAGSGCTGAAGACTAAAAGCTAACGCTACTACTACCCTGCAGCGCTCCCTCCAGAGTGCTGCTGCCGAATCCTGAAGACTACAACTGCCTCCTGCCTGCCCGTGAAGTGCATGGGAAGTCCCTATGTATTACCTCGGTCTGCCTCCTGACTGCCTGAAGGGCGAGCCTGGCCGAGGAGGCTGCTCTTGCCAATGCCGAAGTGTGCCAGGGGCTGGCTGCAGCAGCTGGTGAGGCTGGCGTGGGGAACAGGCTAAGAATAGCCTGTTCCCGAAACCCTGGTTCGGTGCCTGAGTTTCAGGGCCGGTCGTTCTAATGAACGACCGAAAATGGCCCTTCGTTTCAGGCTAAAAAGGCTGTTGCCATTTTTAGTCCGAAACGACACAGGGACTATAGGCCCCTGTTTTCAGGCTTTCGGGCTGAACAGTCACGGGGCCTGTAGGCCCTGGTTTTCAGGCTTTCAACCTGAGGGACGCAGGCCCTGGAAAATGGCCCTCGTGTGCAGGCGCAGCATGTAACACTCCCCCCTCCTTATGAAGTCAAGCCGGGGCGAGGGCGAAGCCGATGATCTGAAGGTGGAACCTGGACGCGGGTGTGGCGTGGAGCCAAAGAAACCGGCTTGCCTTGCATCTTGCGTTCGTAGCGTGCGAGAACGTCTGGAGCTATTGCTTGAAGTTCCGCACGGGTCAACCAACGGTCAACTCGGTGTGTGCAGTATGCAAAATGCACTAAATACTCGGTTGGCCTGTTGCCGTAGCGTCACTGGGAGATGATGTCGCCGACCTCCTGAAAACCATCCATGGAGGGTGGATCTTGCGAACGTCTCCCGGGAAAATCGTCATGTTCCGCTGGCATGCAAAGAGCCAACTTGGAGTCATGAAAGACTGGGTAGACGGGCAAGTGGCCGGGTACCTGAATCGTGAAGGAAGGTCCCTCGGGTGCGTCCCCAGCGGGTGCTACGATCGGCCAAGGTCCCATCCATTTCGGGAGGAGCTTGCGAGAGATGTCTTGTTCAAGGCTGAATTCCGCTGCGGAAACCCAAACGAGGTCATCGGCGCGGAAAGGGCAAGGAAGACGCTGGCGATTGGCCTGTTGGCTCATGCGTTGCTGCGTCTTAGCTATCTGATCGCGTGCCTTGACAAAAAGCTCTTGCATCCGACGCACAAAAAGAAGATGGTCGTCGCTCTCGGCCGTTCGTGGAGTGATCGTGTCCAACGGTGAAGTGACCAGCGAGCCGTGCTCGAATTCAAAGGGTGACATCCCGATAGCCGGGTGGATAGAGGAGTTGTAGGCCAACTCGACATCCGGCAGCCGCTCAACCCAGTCCTTCTGGTCGGGGCGGATGAGAGTGCGAAGAAGAACCTGCGCGGTCTGATGCGCCCTCTCCATCTGGCCATCGGTCTGAGGGTGGCGAGCCGAACTGGGCTTGAGAGATGAGCCCCATCGCTTGATGAGCGCCAACCAAAAATCGGACATGAACCGAGTGTCGCGGTCGCAGACGATTTCCTTGGGGTAACCCTTGGTTCGAATCCAACCGGCGTAGAGAACCTCGGCCAACTCCGGTGCCTTGGCATGATAGCGACAAGGCAAAAACATGGCAAACTTGGTGAGTCGGTCGACCACCGTGAGAATCCCATCCACTCCGGTCTTGTGCTTGGGGAACGGGCCGGTAATGTCCATGGCAATCGCTTCCCTTCGCCTCAACGGGACCGGTAATGATCGTAACTCACCGTACGGACGATGGTTGCGGGATTTGCAGCGTTGGCAAACCTCACATGATTCGCGATAGCGCGTGACGTTGCTGAGAAGGTCGGGCCACCAAAATCGCTTGCGAAGTCGGCCAATCGTACGATTGACTCCAAAGTGTTCGGTGGCGGGAGCATCGTGGAACTCACCAAGAAGCCGTGTACGCAAGTGAGGATCACTCAGTACGCAAAGAAGGTCCTTCCCCCGCGTGTGGACAAGCAAGTACCCCTCTTGGATCCGGTAGTGAGAAGGAGCCGGATTAGGAGAGGAGCAATTCGCGTACTTGTCGCGAAATTCGGGGTCGGCTTGGTAGTCGCGGATGAAGCTGTTCCGCAGGTCATCGTCGATCTCGAAGGTTGAGTAGACCGCGGTACAATGATCCGGACGCCGTGAAAGAGCATCCACAAAACGGTTCGACTTCCCGGGAATGTGATCGGGAAAGAARTCGAACTGGTCGATGAAAGCCATCCATCGAGCGATGGTGCTGTTGACGGTGTCTTGGGTCTTATAGAAGACCAACGGATTGTTGTCCGTTACCCATCGAAATTGGTTTTGACCAAGGAGGAAGTGCCGCCACCGCTTGAGCACGTGGACGAAGGCGAGGAGCTCCTTCTACGAGCATCGTCAATGGAATGCATGATGGGCACTTTCTTGCTGAAATACTCAACCGGGTGCCAGCCCACACCATCATGTTGCTCGAGGACTGCACCAATGCCATAGCCTAATGCATCCGTAGTGACGCGCATAGGCAAAAGTGGGTCGTATATCCGCAAGACCTCCGCAGACAATAGCGCGGCTTTGAGAGCCAAGAAAGATTCCCGCGCCTCCTCTCCGAAGTCAAACGGTCGATCCTCGCATTGAAGCTTGTTCAAGTGGGCCGCGATCTTCGAGTAGCCTTTAATAAAACGCTGGTAGTATCCAGCAAGGCCAAGGAACGAACGGACATCCGTGACGTTCCGAGGCTTCGACCACTCCTGGATGGCTTGAATCTTGTCCGATAGCGGACTGATGCCCTTCGGTGTGACAAAATGGCCCAATTATTCCAGCTCTTGCTGGATAAATTCGCATTTGTCGCGGTTGGCCTTGTACTTGGCACGGCGGAGCGTCTCCAACACTCGTCGAAGATGCCCCATATGATCTTCCAATGACCGGCTATAGACGAGAATATCGTCTAAGTAGACCAGCACGAACTGGTCCAACATTGCACGGAACTCATTGGTCATTGCCGCTTGAAAGGTCGTCGGGGCGTTGGTGAGGCCAAAAGGCATGCCCGCCCACTCAAAATGCCCGTACCGCGTCTTGAACGCGGATTTGTAGCGATCGTTCGGCCGGATCGAGATTTGATGATATCCCGATTTCAAATCCAACTTAGAAAAATACTTTGCGCCGCCCAATCGCTCAAGAAGATCGTCGATGCGAGGAAGAGGCCCCGCATTCTTAACGATTTGCGCATTGAGCTTGCAGTAGTCGATACACAGTCGTAGATCCTTGTTCTTCTTCCGGACGAAGAGAACTGGTGCTCCATATGGGGAGCTGCTAGGGCAGATCCAGCCCTTGGCCAACAAATCGTCGAGTTGTGCGCGGAGGACCTCAAGCTCCTCCTCGCTCATCCGATAGATGCGACCTTTCGGCGACACAGCACCGGCCTTAAGAATGATCTCGTGAGAGATCGACCGATCCAGCACCACACCGGTAGGTGACTCGAAGATGTTGGCGAACTCGTCCAGCAACCGCACCACCCGGGGGTCCAAAGACAAGTCCGTGGGTGAAGAGTTGGCTACCGCGGCGGTCCATAGGAAACATAGGCCGATTTCCTCGGGCTGCTCGTAAGCGCAAGTCGCCCGAAATGATTTGGCCGTGACCACTTGGCACCGAATCGAAGGGTGCGGTAGAGGAATAGTACACGCTACTTCCGCGCCGAAGGCGTCGCGAACGCTCCGCCGGTGGAAGTTGACCGTGTGATCCGCACTTGCAAGCCAAGGCATTCCCAGAATGATGTCGAAGTTCGTGTCGAGAATATTGAATGTCACCGGTTCGCATGCATGAGGTGCGAAATAAACCGTTACGGCCTCGATGTATCAGTCGAGAAGTTGCTGTGTTTTCCCATCCGCCAACTTGATCGCCGTCGGGTTTGCCTTCCTCCGAACTTGTGCGCCAAGGCGAGCCCTTTGCATAAAGGATTGGCTCATGAAATTGCGAGATGCGCCGCTATCCAGCAAAGCACTGCAGGACGCTTGCCCAACTTGGATGCAGACATACATGAGCGGTGCGTTGTTGTCATCGTACCGCTGCGTGTGAAACTCGCGGGCCACCTTGGTAGTATACGCAAGGATGTCCCCCACCGCGACTTCGTCATCCGTCGGTGAAGTTGGTGGTGCATAGAAGGATAAGTAGGTGTGGAGATGAGCGCATAGTGCTGCGCATTGCGGTCCCGGCAAGAGGCTTGTGGTCGGGAGAGGAAGCCATGCAAAGTCCTCGGACGCTGCTGCCGGACGGAGAAGATGCCGCACACACGTCTTGTCCTTGAGCTTGAGTACCCAGCGTAGGAACGAGCCGGGCAGCATAGTCCTCAAAAGAAAGTAGAAGAGGAGGACTATCGACTTCCGCATGCGCCCCGGAGTAAAGGCCGGTTACTCACGAAGAAACCGGTTCCGAAGGCGTCGAGAGTGTTGTCGAGTTACTCTCGGTGGTGCTCAGTTTCCCTGTTTGCCCTTGCCTTTCAATGGGCAGACCAGTGTCTGATGAAGATCGTTGTTGCACCAAAGGCAATAGTGGAATCTCTCGCGCGCTTTGAATGCTTGCTCGGAGATGCCATATTGGGACCATGGGGCTGCTGGAGCTGCTGCATCGGGCCCGGGGCTAGATGCGGTGTGTGTCTTCGTCTTGCCGCGTCCTCGGCCTCTGCCGGGGCGGCCACCTTCCCGGGCGGCTGCGAGTCTGTCCCCTTCACTGGCAGACACAGCCTCGCTGGTTTGATCAAACGGCGTTGCCGCTGCGACCACGACCACTCTTGGCCAATGCTGGTCCCTACTCGGCCTGACGCAGACGAACAGAGGTTCTTAGCCTCCTTGTTCGTAATGATGATCTGCGCGGCCTTGTGAAAAAGTTCCGCCGTCGTCGTCAAGGTGTCCTCGACCTGAGTCAGAGCATTGCTTAATAAACAACAGAAATAACGAGAAAACAAAATCCAAGGAAAGAAAAAAAAAATTTGATTTTCGGCAGTAAGGTCAAAATCGTGATTTTGGGGTCTAACTAATGTGCTCTAATCAATCAATAAAGACTAATCAGCTATTTAGTCCCCGCACACGTGTCTCCTTCGGCCCGTCCGATGGTCTTCTTTTCAACCATGTCTTCATCAGGGTTAATCGTCCGTAACAGTATCGTCATCATCATCTTCATTATCATCAACCTTGATAGCACCAGTTTCCTGACGGGCGTGTGTAATTTTCTGGCTTCTTTTTCCTTTACTCCTTTTTTCTCGGTGATCTTCCTGCCTCTTTCTTCCCCTCCTGCCTATTCTCTTTAATCTTCTCTCAACTTCCTTTTTTTATTTTTTCTCTTATTCTTTATTCGTTCTCACCTTTTCGTTCTCCGTTGCTGTCTCGACTCTGCTTTGTTTTTGCCCTATCACCTTGTTCAGGAAGGAAGAGGAGGACAGTGTGGTGAGAATAAGAGGAAGCGGAGGAGGGAAGGGGGTGGGAGGGGGAGGGGTAGGAATAAGGTGGAGATAATGGAGGGAGAGAAGGGGGAAAAAGAGAGAGGTAATAGGCGAGGACGTTGGGGGGATTAGGTTGTCAAGAAGGGATGGGGGAGAGGGATTTGTGTCGTGTCGCGTCCGTCGTAACAGAGTATTAATTATTTTCATAATGGTAGGCAGAATCATTAATTCTTCATACTTCATATTTCATTAATATTTACTAATTTTATGTCCCCACTTATCAGTTTTTATTTCCCACTTATCATTTTATCAATCATTTACTATCCAATCAACTAATTATAATATTAATCATCAACCCAATCACTATTTCAATTAATCAATTTTAATAATATCCGTAATTTAATTTCTTAAATTTT